GAGGATAATATTATGTACCAAATCTGAGTCTATATTTTTTTACACTGACAATGGATGGCTTTGTTTACCGTGTGTACTGTATATGCATATTTTGTATATATTTGTGGACTGTATAGAACATTGGAAAAGTTTTGCAGCCAAAAGAGGTGTAAACCAAAATGCTGACTTTTGGAAATACTTATGTTCTGTATTTGTAAAATAAAATGTTAATTTATTAATGAGGAATATGTGTGATCTGTGTGAAGAGTGGCCGTCATTCTTTTTGGTAAATCATACCGGTCATGTAATCTGTGCTTTATGACATCACTCCTGTTTATAGTGTTTACTGGAACACTTTTCTGACACTGTATTTCATATATCAAACTGGCCTGTAAGGATGGGATAGCTAAGATTAGAATTAGAGATGTTCAGATACCAAGTACCGTACAAGTACAGATACTTTCCGAGCTCCAAGACTAGACTAGAGAAAAATTCAAAAGTTGCAGCTGTCATTTGTAAGGAGCACACGGAGCTCCTGGGATTTGTACATCCCCTGTTTTAATGTATGATTATTTTTTTAAATAAATATATACAGGGGATGCACTGATACCATTTTTCTAAGCACTGATACTTGTCCAAGTACTCGCAGATAGAAGTACTGATACATTTTTGTTTATTGTCATGTGACCGTTTTTCTAAAACAATACAGACTAATGATTTCAGGACAGTGGTGGAGTGCCAGGGCCAGGTCCCAGCTGCAACCGCTGCAACCCGGGTAGTTCTCATGAAAATGCCAAGTATCGGCATTGGTATCTGAACTGGTATCTGGACATCCCTAATAATAATCCTTCTTCTCTTTTATGTAAAAATAAAGCTTTGTCTGGAGTACTATTTTATGTATATGGCCTGCAGAGCTTGTGCATAGCCTACACCAGAAAAATAAACTCTGTATGTGCAGTTGACTGGGAAATATTGTTAACACAGGCCCTGCAGGCCATATACATAAAGTGGTACTCCAGACAAAGCTTTATTTTTGCATAAAAGAGAAGGATTATAATCTTTGTTATCTTTGTCCCCAGTGGGGAGATTTGTCCTTAGTTCCTGTCCTGGTGATCACACAAGAAATTAAGGTTGTGTCCCCACAGCATAGAAAACCTAACAGAGATTTGAATCCTTTCCAGTTCTATCCAAGAGTTAGGGAAGAATAACGTTTGGGCTAGAGATCCAGTTTAACCCCTTAAGGACAAAGGCCTTTTTTTCATTTTCATTACGATATAATCCACATTTTAGGCCTGAAAATTACTAAAAACCCCAAACATTATATATTTTCTGAAAGCCAAGACCCTGTAGAATAAAAGAGTGGCAGTTGCAAATTTTTATGTTGCACGACATTAGCGCAACTTATTATCAAACCCAAAAAAGTTGTGAAAAATGCACTTAAGTTAAATGTAGTGCCCCAAAACACTATATAAAACCATTTTTGTTTTGTAAAATATAAAAAAACCTCAAAATACCTGAACAATTCCTTCACCCAATCAGATTGTTCTGGGATTTTGACAGCCAGCAGGGTCGGTTAGCAAGATACTGAAGCTTGGCCCAGTGGGAGATTCCTCCATCCACACAGTTTAGCGTAGATGGAGGAATCTGTTGCACTTTTTCCATCTGACCATGGGAAATCTGCAGATAATCTATAGGTGTATGGCCAGCTTAAGTCCCTGTTCACACCTGGGGAGTTTGATGCTTAAAGCTAAACGCGACAAAACTCATAACACAAGAAATCCCATTCATTTCTGTGGCTCCTGTTTACACTGAGTTTTGTCTCACGCTGTAAAACGCCAAACGCTGCAAAGGTACATGAGCTTCTTTCGGGCAGATTACAGCATGTTCGGCCACATAGACTTCAATGGAAGAGCAGGGTGCGAGACAAGCGTTTTGCACGTTTGTGCGCACATTTGCTCATTCACTATAATGCATTTCAATCTGCTCAATAAAATGCGCGTCTTCGTACATGCGTGTCCAATTCGTGCAAAAATGTGCAAAACCGAGCTAAACACACTAGACGGTACACTTGAAAACGTGCATAAGAAAACGTGCGCTAAATGCACAAAAACGCTGACAGAGACTAAACTGTTGCAAGCTTGCAGGGAACCTCCTGGATGACAGCTGAATAGCCCTGAGGTGCTCAGCGGACTTGAGGATATGAGTCATCTTTCCGATAGTTTCCGAATTGTCCAGGAGCACTTCTAGGATGTGCGTCTGTTTGGAGGTCTTTTACTGTCACAGATGCTGCACACATACTGCGCACTTGAAATATTATGCAAAATGTCACAAAACATTTGCAGTGAGCCGCAAACATTAATATGTCGCAAAAACACTCAATAATACGTAATCACCTGCACTCCATGCAGCGTGCAGACCTTGATGAAAGGTCGGTGCTTGAAGCGACAACACGCTTGGTGCCGTGTCAGATACAGTCCGTAATAGAAGTCACCAGCACTCGATGATGTGTGCAAGAAGTAAAGCACTTTTTATTAAATCGTCACATAGCTAACGTTTCGGGGCCACGCAGGGTCCCTTCACATAGTGACGGATGTCGCCCAGAAGATGGGACCCTGTCACATACGCGCTAATAAATTCCCACCCATTCCCATTTATATACTGCACCCCTGAGATCTGCTTGGCAGAATTACTGACCCTGTGCAGTCCTCCTGGGACTTTCCGGTATCCCCACACAAACTTTGTATGCTTCCGATCCCCCTGTTACATTCTCCGTTAGATAAAATGTTGGTGCTGCTGTGCAGGCTTTGGGGCGGCTGTGCTTGATTCTGGGGGGCCAGGACAGTGTAAAATACTGAGAGCCTCTCTTTTTGATCTCTGGCTGTGGTGGGTCCTTTTTGAAGTGACAAGGAGCAACTGTGGGCTCCTTTTTTCTTTGATTGTGTGACTTCCACCTCCTACTGCCTGTTACTGGGGTATTGGTCCTCGCTCCTGTCTCCCCCTGAATTTTGGGGTTCTGCCCGGACTGGTCCTCCTGA